AATCCGACAGTGCGGTTCAAACTCTGACATGCAGTTGCTGATCTAGCAGGAAACTCTTGATCCATCCAAAGACTGGATCACCAAATCCCAACTCTCAAGCGTGTGAAGCAGAAGGTCGTAGTCCAGTCGGTCGAAGGCTTTGGAGAAGTCGAGGTAAACAACGTCCGTCTCTTTACATTTATCGGCAGCTTCCGTCCAACCGCTGGGTGAAATCAGTAGCCTGTTAGTGCACGCACAGCGTTGGCCTAAACCGTGTTGTTCGAGTGCCATGATTTTGTGGGGTGCTAAATGGTCTACTAAAGCCTCAGCGATGATTACCTCCATCATCCTTGAGGGTAAAGGGAGTACCGCTGGATATTATTTAGATGGTTCCGAGCGATTACCGCATTAAAAACTGGAGCGAGAAAGCCATGTTTCCAAATGGTACGCACGAATGGCTTACTCAAGCATGTTTGGAAGAAATCCGATAATGGCCCGACCAGCTTTGTTGCGGCTACGTTCAGTGCTCTCGGGTGGAGTTCAACGACTCCGGGGGAACTGTAAGTTCTTAGTAAGAGCAGGTTCCTAAGACCAATTTGGCAGTAAATGCGATGTAATGAGTGCCGAAATTTGTACCAGGCATGTGGCTATGTAACAGTGGCGGATGTCTCCTTGGGATGTCGGGGCATGCTGAGTCCGTTGAGATTTGGCTGCCACTTAAGCACTCTATGCTACACCGATTGCCGTGTTGAGTGGGGGGTTACCGTGCTTTACTTTGCGAATAATGCTAACATGCCTATATAAAAGCTTTATGTTGTTGGCAAATTTACGAGCTAATTGTTGTTACTGAGTCACTTTGTCCTGAAGGAAAAACATTATGATGATTGAGCTGGGTCCCTTAGTCGTTCCAGGTTTCTGGACCAGGGTGTGCTCTCTCAGTGTGCCAAGCTGCATTCATTAGTGACATGCGTTTGCGGGTTTAACTTCTGTTTAAAGACAAAGGATTAGTGGAACCAACCCTTCGTGTTTGAAGCTGTTCCGATTATATTACTGCTGCGTCCAAGAACCTGAATCTAGACGCTGTCAGGAGAGAAACCTTCCAAGAATTTCCAATCGGTCCTCACAACTAGGTCGTTCAGGATATTATGACAGTTCTTATTAGTTCTGTGTGTTTCTCCGGATATTCACCGTAGCACACATAGTTATAAGACATGGTGCCATGATCGCTTAACCCGGTTGGGTGTCTATAAATGGCCTGGTCAACCATGAGTTCCTCATTTGTGAGTACGAGGTCAAGCATTGATAGTTTGATATCAACTATGTACGAGGTAAATGACATGGTGATTTTACCGCGGAATACTTGTGATTAAGTCCTGCAGTTCGGTCATATGTGTTTCGCTTGGGGATGCCGAACATTCCTAGTGGTGCACGTTGAAAGCGCGAGAGATAAACACGTGGCTCTAATTTGTGAATTAGCATTTTGTCAGTGATGATATTAGACAGTAATTCATCTCTGTAGTGGACGATGGGGAGCGATTTACGACTGCCACGAAGCAGTTGTCATTGTGTTTGAGAAGCAAACGGCACCAAGGCCAATCGGTGACCTGCTTCTCCTGAGCATCCATTGGTTCGCATTGTAAGTCGCTGCGACAGTACTGGATAGCAACACCTCCCTTGCTGGGTCGATCGTGTTGGAGCAATGATATTCCTCGAATTGCGATTTCGGCATCCGTAACCTCCGAGTGCAATCAAGCCACGCTTATGGAAACAAGATCCAAAACGCGTGTTGTCTGGAGTAATTAAAGCTTAGCGATTTTGTTGGGGAGGCTTTGAGTATTCGTGTGCATGCAGAAATGTGTTTCGATTATCAGCAGTGATCCGATAGACGTGCGGTTAGAGTGAGAGATTGTGCCAACTGTTGTTTGATCAGCAGCTAGCCGTTTTTTGTGATTTATCGGCAAATCTCTTGGAGTTGGGTTCAGTGGCATCGTAAGTAGATATTTTGATAACCCAGTTTGCACAAGGCACGGGGAGTGGTTGTAGGATTTCAGAGGAAAATCCACATTTCGGATGAGATCATTACATCGTCTTCCTGCTGCGATGGGGCTTTAATTCGGAGGATAATTTCGCACAGATCTTTGAAGCGAAGCTCGGTTGACAGTCTGTTCCGAAACAAACATCAGCGTTACAGCACAGTAAGTGCCATCTGCATAGGCTACTTAGGTTTTACCCTATGTATCTTGCTCATATTCGCAGCCTTGATAGAAAAGTAGCTAAAGGTCATTCAAGGGCAGTGTCTCACGAATATAGGGCTACTACACCTGCTCATGTTTTACTTCGAATTCGTGACGTTGATGAGACTGAAGGACGCCATGAACCAGGATGTTTCCGGTCGCAGTGTTCAGCCGGAACTCTTCTGCTCCCCACTTTGTTCGCTTGTGATGAACCCATGAAACGTCTAGAAAAATGCGGACCAAATTGAATTCCTTTTGGGGACGAGCAGTTGCAAGTAACTATGCTTCCACCTCACCGACAGAGCGTAGTGCAACCCGAAGAAGTTTAGCTTCGCCGTCGTGCTTGAAAATCGGGTGATGAATGATCTACGTCAAGTTGGAGGGTTTGGTCTGAATACGAAGCAGATTAATTATAGTGTTCTATTGGTTCAGATCATCCACATGTTACCCCTTCGAAGAATTCGATTTTCACACAAGAACATTGGAGCATATTATAGATATGGCATCCCATTTCTTCCGTAGGTCTTTCCTAGAATTATGGTCCTTGGTTGGGAGACAGAGCGATTTGCTACGCATCCGTGAAGCACTGCTTTTCACATTAATTTTGAGTGGGGTAGTAGCAACAGCAGCGGCTGATTTTGGAGTGTTTTTGGTGTAACAACGTCCTAGCTTCCATTGGTATTTGCATGTTTTCTGAGTTTCGGCGAAGCCTGGGGAGAAGAAGTGGGTTTTGGGAAATTGTTGCAAATAGCTGGGTTTGAAGTGTTCGGGAAGTTTTTGGCGGCTTGGATTATTGGCAGCGTTTGCAGAAGCAACTTCATTTGTGTGACATCCGGCGTTGTAGAGTTAGCTTGTAGTGGAGTTCGGTAGAAAGACATGTGCCAGACATTCTGCTATGTTTGTTCCCACCAAGGCTACTTTTGTGCCCAGAATTCTGTCAACCAAGTCTGCAAGCCGATTATACCTTAGAAACAGGGCATTTAAGGATTTACCTAGTAGGATAGTACTACAATTCACACAAAACCAAAAGGAGTCTGACCTGCTGCTGATCCGCCTACACTCGCTTGGTTTGATATTCCTAAATTTGGCATGAAAGTAGGTCAAGAAGTTACCACATGCTCTTATTTTGACCATATTGTTGCACCTTTCGCAGCCCCCTTTAGGCATTGCGGTTCGGTTACTAGCGCTCACCAGAGCACTTGGACCTGTGATGGTTAGTCCAACCTCTGACCCTAGATTAATTGTTCCAGCGTCAAGGTCAGTCTGACGAGACAGATGGATGTCTTACTGCCTCGCTGTCGCGTTGTCGAGTGGATTCAGCAATGCGCACACAAACACACAAAGAAGCAGCATTAGTAATCTTCCTAAGTCTCCCGTACGCCACGATTAGTGGGTACACGACACAAACTATCACGCAACTTTGTTATGCTGCTGCTTGTAGGCATGGTTGCATGGTCATTTGCGAGTTACCAGATTCTTCTACCGAATGAGATCCAAAATATTCTTTAAAAAAATAAGCTGTCCATGGGGGTCTAACAGGGCCTAAGTCTGCCCTGCACATGTGGGTCACGATTTATATTCTCGAACTGGGCCCGGAGCATAAGCATTGCTGGTATGTCTCGAAAAGGCGAATGGGTTGGAGCGTATCATGTAAGAATGGAAGAGCATCACGCGATGCACTTTAGGCAATCCAATGAAGCTTAGTAGTATTAGAAATGTCATTCCAACCAAATCAGAGTGGACTACCGTGTAGTTGGTCTTATAATGTCCAATTTCCAAGCTTGTGTTAAATAAGCTTATTGAACACCGCTGGCAGGTGTACAGTTGCCATATGGACAGCACTACGCTGATTTGAGCGACCGAACAACACTGTCTATCTGCTTGTGACATCGAAACTTATGGAACGCGTCACGGCCCCTAGAAAACTTCGCGTATGACAGTAAGCTAGCTTCTGTGTCCATTCATGCGATCACTGTATGGCACAGTTGAATGTTAAAGCATAATGCTTTCGGAATTATATGGAGATGTGGTTGTTTTCGCTACTCAGAAACTAAAATGACCGACAAGCTCCACTGTAGCGCAGTTGAAAAATTAATGAGCAGAAAGTATAATCAAGTTACTTCAAGAAGTTACTGTTGCGTTAAGTTGCACTCTGCCCGGGATTGCACAAGTTAGCATGTTGTTCAAATTTGTCAGTCAATAGTTAGCATGCATGATTAACGAAATTCTGCTTTAACATCAGAAGAATTCGATTACATTATCCAGTGTGCTGCGTCCAGTCAGTCTGATGCATTATCTGAAACGGATTACTTATGTAATTCTCAGATCATCATGTGGTTTGCATTCGGTACTCGCTGTTAGATTTAACTGTATTTACTTCGTGATCACTCAGCTATAACACGTTTAAAGCCGATAAATTTGATTTCTATATAATAAATAAAAATAATTGCCTAACTATTTCTATGGATCGGCGAAGACATTTGTAACATTTTTCCACTCTCAACCAGCATGCGCATAATCAACGCTTGTCTGCCAAGTTATTCTGTTCCAAAGAGTTGGGGTTTCTTAGTGACCGGGATCAATTTGACATTTGCAGGTGTTGGATTGATCACTCGTGGTCATTATGATGAAAAAGAACTTGTCGCCAAGGAAGGTCCACTCTTGACGTAGGGATGAAACTATGTTTTACTTACTATCTTCCACCTGCTGTGTAGATTCAATTGCCAAAAATTTCACCCAGTATTTTAGAATGCGAATTTAAGTTCCACAGGCGTTCACATAACTTACCATAGTAAAAGTAGGGGTCAAAAAGCACCAGAACAGGACGGGTAACCAACCAAGTGAGAATCCGTACATACAACGCAGGTTGTGAGAGAACCGACGTCCGCCTGCAATGTACAAATAGACACTTTATGCTTTCAGATCAACATAATATCTCATACAGCATTTCGGAAAATGTGGTGATAGTACAAAAATTGCTTTAGGAACTATTATTTTGCAATCAGTAAACTAGGATTCTCTTCAACATGTGAAACTGAGACCATTGATTTTCCCTTGAATTCTAAGCCGTGTTTACTTCATTGTGTATAACCCAACAGTGTCACATTCTTACCACTGCCAAATTTTGTGGTAGGACACCAGTCAACAAGTCCAATTATTCCCTTGACTGAGTACTATATCTTTACAACTGTGTAATAAGTTTCGTCCAATTGTTCTTGCTAAGGTCTTAATTTAGATCAGCTGAAACCTGAGAAACAAACTACGGACAGTTTTATAGTTGGTTTAAAGCTAGTCAGTGTAGAAGTAAAACGAGAGACAACAATTCTGTTGTACCTAAATCTCACCATACGGCCCAATGTACTAGTTGCTTTCCTCGGATCAGAATCATCAAATTCCTCTAGGCATGAGAAGAGGGGTAATTATTCTTCCAGCCGAAGTAAATTTGCTGAAACAATCGATTACTTTGCCTACAATGGTGCTGGAAACATGAGGTATTTTTATAAGTTACTTTTCACACTTGCAGTTAGTGAACGTCTGGACTTGTTAGGTGAAAACGAGCAGTAGACAGCGCTCAAACGTTCCGACATTTTCGCACCAACTTCCTTGTAACCGAAATATAGTCCAACCAAGTGATGGTCACAGAATTGAAAATGAAACAAGTATCCATGGATGCCACTATAAACGTTTTTCAACAAAGATTGACGCAAACGGACTAGTTCACAAAGGGAGTACCCGTAGATGGAACGTTAACTGAATGCTTTTCAACAATTTGTAGGCGCGGGTGTACAGGCTTTCATAAATCGAATACATTGGGTCTAATGGCCTAGTTAGATGCCCATTACTTTATCATGTTCGTGTCGTCTGGGTCGTGTGAGCAGAGGTAGTTGTTGTGTAGTAAGTTAACAGGACTCCCATGCTTTCTTTCCGGGTAGGAAGTTGCACAAATCGCGACCATCCGATGTGTTTTCGGGCTAAATTAGCTTGTAGCAGATGCTTGCAGCTGTGCACCCCAGGGTTCTTCTGCTTAACACTGCTTCTGATTTGTCTGAGATGTTAAGCCGCCGTGACGACCAACTGCGTCTAAGGGTGCTGATGCCAACTGCGCAGTGTTTTACCAGTGGAAAGAATAGGGAAGAAGCCAGAAACTGAATGATTCAGGTTCCGAGCAATTATATCATAGGAAACTAAAATTCAAAAGGATCTTTTACGAGGGGAGTTCATAACGAAACCGAACTTTTGTAATAGCGCGCCAACCGGCAGAGGGACCACCCTGCAGCTACTTAGCGCATGTAGAGGCATGTTTAGAGAACAAACTGCCATTTCCCGCACTTCGCTCTGACTATTAGTTGGCGAGTTACAGCAGGTGAAGTGAGCACGTGCAAAGCTGTTCGTCGGATCAGTGCCAAAGATAATGGAAGAACTTGAACAACAAGGTGTGTGTGTGTTAAATTATGCTACAAAGTGTAAAGTGGCCCTCCGTGCATCAAAAGTCAAAGTCTGGGCCTCGATCAGAAATTCATTATTCATAGAACGCAAAAAATCATTTTATATCTCGAGTCAATTAGAATCACTCGCAGAACAAATCTCCTTTCTATTACATTCTCTGCCAGCGTTCGAGTTTCGTTCAATGTCGATCCAAATCGATTGC